ACTATAAAATGCATTTATTCCTGAAGACCTACAATAAATAAATCTTCAAGTCCTCTAATCCTTTATCTATCTGTGGACTTACTCCTCACCCTGATCATCACCTAAAAAATGTTAAAATGTCTGTATGAGTACAACGACTCGTGAATAGAAACCACCTCCAACGAGGTGTGAAAATAAGTCCCCGAGTTCATATACAAAAATAAATTTTGATACATACAAAAATATAATAAATTATACTCCAACCCCTCTCACATACTCATTTAAAAAAAATGATTTTATGATCATAAAAAACTTTATAAATGAAAAGACATTTATTACCCAAAACACCCACTCATTTTCACAAATAACATTATAAATGAAAAGACTTTTATAACCCAAAAAACTCACACGTACATTCAGTCTCAAATACATTTGTCATATCATGTTTGTTACTACTAGGCTGATAACTGGTCATGTCTCTTATCACCACTAGCCTGGTGATTGGCTCCATCTCTTGTCGTCTCTAGCCTGATGATTGACTCTTATGTGCACATCCCTATATCGATCACACTAGTATACTTTCAATCTCATTATCATTTAGACTCGGTAACCCAGTCCCCGTCTCTTAAAACATGATTTTAACACACATTAAAACTGTCGTTTTAGTTTTAACGCACACAAAATTTTCCTTTCATCACCAAAAACACATTTAAGTAATGATATAAAATCATCCCACAAGTTATCAAAATTTATATGTACCATAATTCACAATTACAAAATATTTAATTGTAACCTCAAATATCAACACATATATCATATATATGAAATATCCACACACATGCATCCACCATTTTACTATAGAAAATCCTCTCAAAAGAAGTAGTCAACTACTGACCTTGATTCCCGAACTCCAATTCAAAACACCTCTCAATATAATCACCTTCTAGATCAAAATAGCATGTACTAATCAATTCATATTCCTAATTTCATAATTTTTCTATTTTATATTTAATATTTGTACTTCCTATCCATTGATATATACTTTAGATATCCTTTAGATAGAAATAAAATTTTTAATATGGGATAATAAGGTGTGGAATTAACCTATGCTATTTAGAAAAAGTTTCTAAACTTCTAGGGTCAAATCATATTGAAACTTTAGGGGTGAAAGTGTAATTTTCAAAAATAAATTTATCTGCTTTCAAACTGCTATAAAATTCCCAAAATAGTATTTAATACTATAGAGACTAATTTTTTATAATATAACATTGCTTTAAGCTATTACGAGTAAACTATCATTTTGGGAGCAAAATTAAAACTTTTTAGGATCGTTTTCGAATTTCAAAAACTTTCCAAGGCTCAAGGGTGTTTTGAAATGATAAAGTTTGTTTCAAAAATATTGGGTTCAATCCTGTAAATTACCATCTTAATCAGTAGTCAAAATTAAATTTATAAAACTATAAGGGTCAAAATATATTACTTATAAATAAAAGGAAAAGTTTCTGTAATTCTTAGATTCCTTATTATTCCCCTTTAGGAAGTTGCAGCACCTTCCATTGTTTCTTCTTTTTTTTTTCTTTTTCAACACATTACTTAAACTTCATTAATTCTCAAAAACTATAAACTTAAATTTAACATAATAACTTCAAGAATTTGATGGGCCAGGCGCAAGGGCCCAACCCATGTTATAAGCCTGGTCCGAGTTAAAGGCCCAATTCCAAGAGATCCAAGTAGTCAAGCCCAAAGAAGTCTATACCTGGATAACCTTACCAAGATCAAGGAGCTACATCAGCAGGGAAGCATGCACGGTCATCCAAGAGCTTCCTTTACCACCTTGGAGTAAGGGTCATCCAAGAGCCTCCTCTACCACCTTGGAGTAAAGGTCATCCAAGAGCCTCCTATACGCCACCAAGGAAGCATCCAGGAGCCTCACCCTCACCACCAAGGGAGTATCCAAGAGCCTCATCCTCGCAACCTGGAAAGAGTCAACCTCCCTCATCCTTGACCAAATCCTTTGGAGAGCACACCAACCGTCACACCTCGCCCGTTGAAAAGATGATAGATCGCCTCCGCCGGATCAGCTACCTAATTATTATTAAACGGTTCTAAGTCATAATGACCGTCAAAATAGTCATACAATTACTACGTTAAACCACTATAAATTGTAAGCTCCCCCAACACTTGGGGTGCATCAGACTCATTTGAGCATAATTCTCTCATCCCCTCTCAAAACTTGTAATCATGTGCACTCCTTTCACACCGGAGATAATAAAATTCCGACGAACCTAGTCATTCAAAGTAGACATAGGCCACGACCGAACCACTATAAACCTTGTCTTCTCTTTCTTTCTCTCTACTTTACTTCATTTCATGTTACTTAATTGACTAGTGGTGTGTGCGAACCGATTTTGTGCATCATCAGAATTCATAAGGTAATATGAGACCTATATATATATTTATAAACCCTATACCATATAATTGAATGAAAATATAAAACCCATAAGAGAAGTAATAAATTCATACCTTTAATGGATTACACCCCTTTTCTTTTTCCTTTTTTTTTTTTCTCATTCTCCATCTTCCTTCTCTACTGTTGAATTTTTGTTCACTAGATAGGCGCCTCTGCAAATCTTCTCAGCAAAAGACCCTATCACACCTATATCTATATAATAAAGTAGCTAGATTGTTTATTTTGAACTTTTCGTGGTTCAGATCATTTTGATCCAATAATCCTAATTGAACTTTCATTTTTTATACAACTCTAAAACTCTCATTTCTCATATAACTCTCTCTCTTTCTCTCTCTCATGTTATTATCTTTTTTTGCCCTATTTTTTTTTGTTATTATTTAACTCCATAAATCAAATGAAACTACATGTTATACAATTATTTATTTCATTATACTAATTCAACGTTTTTATATATCTAACGGCATATAAATAACACTTAATGTAAATAAAAAATAAACACTAAATAATATTCAATTCCAAATGAACCTTACATTGTAAATTAATATATAATTTTATCAAAAATTGATATTTAATTTTGTCTAATTTATGTTCAACTTTATCGAATTAATATCAAACTAATTTTTATTGTTATCAAATTAATATTGAAATTTATTTAATCAATTTTTTGGATTACTAAATTATGTCAATTTTTTACTAAATCAAATTTTATTTGATTTTATTAAATTTTTAATTTTTTTTGTACTAAATTTAGAGAAGGACAATTGTAGGTAATTATTTTTTTTGATGAAATTATTAATTTTCATTAGCAACATTGACGGAAAGGAAACATAGAGGATATCTGTGCAATAAATTTCAAACCTCACGGAGTGTCTACGTTATTTATAAAATATCATGAAGTATCCGTGTAATATTATCAAAACTCAGAGGATGCCCCTTGATTTTTACCCTGTTTTTAATTAAACATTAATTTATTATTATTTTAGCTAAAAATTTTAAATTATTGTATTTCTAATAAAATAGTTATTGGTTATAAGGGTATGTTGGCTATCAAAAAAGGAATGTGTATTGATGTGTTTCTGTGTATATTTATATGTGAAATATTGAACATAAGGTAATTAAATTTATAATTATATTATATCATTTGGGGTTGAATGGTAATAGTGGTGATAAATTCATGAGTTTTATTAATGAGTAAGATTTGGTTGATTTTATTTATCGCTTAAAGATTGTAAATTTAATATTGTGTTCTGTTTGTATTTTTTTTTCTTGAGGTATTTATTACATGAGAATAGGGTGTATTAAAAATATGGTGGTTGAGTTTATAATTATGTTGTGTTATTGGATTGAGTGGTAGTAAATGTGATCGTGAGTCTTATAAATGAGCAAGATTTGTTTTATTATTTAAAGATTGTAAATTTTAATTGGTTATGTCAATATTTTTTTTTTCAAAAGGCATTTTTATATGTGACATTGTTTTAGGAAGTTTTTATATATTTTTATGATAGTTCTATTAATATGGAGGATATGTTTAACGACATATTTCAAGTAATTTTAAAAGAATAATTGGTATAAATATTTTTAGATCATTCTTTTTGAATTTGAACAATTGTTTTAATTTTTTTTTTGTTTGTTGTATAGTACCTTCAGGGACAAATAATGACTAGTATATATATATATATACACACACACACGATCACATATATATACACACACACGATCACATACTTTATGTAGATAAATTAATACAGTATAATATAATACAGATGGATTAAAGACAATATTAAATATGATATTAGAATAATAAATAATTTCATCTAGTGTTTGATAATACACAATATAAGCGATAGATAGTAGTTATTAATCCAATCGATTGTTTGGTTAGAGAATTATTTCATCGTATTAATATTGAATTAACAAAAATATTATTAATCAGTGTTTGTTATATTGATAACAACTTAAATTGATCACTTGGGGGGTTATAATAGTAAATGTGTAAAATAATACATTTGAGTTGGATTATAATATCACTTCTTTTTGTGGTATTAAAAAACCTCCATAATACAGGTCTATCGTACAAAAAATATACGATAAGTATACGTTTTTAAAATTAATATGGTATCAAATTTGTTTATCAAACAAAGTATTAAGCCCTATTAAATAAAAAATAGTACAATCTAATATTTAATTACCTCATAATATGTCTACCAAACGAACTTATAGTGTATGGGTATCATTTTAAAGGAGTTGAGTTGAATACGACTCATATCAGCGTCGACCATCTATGATATTAAGTGCGGACCATTCCCGGTCTCACTGTTTTGTTTTTGTGTTTTTTTTTTCCCACAAGGACTGGACCATTCCCACCGTTTGGAATTGCTTGAACTGTCCATTTTCCGTGATTTTTGCTTTTGTTCTCAAACATTCATCACCTTATCATAGAAGGATGTATATAATGAGTTTCTTTCCATGCATATAACAAACTCAACTCAACCAGCCTTGGAAGAACATAACCTGGAAAAATACCCCCTGAACTTGTCATATTGAAGCAAGGATGGCTACTTGGGGAGCCCTCCTTCAGTTTCTTATCATTCTGTCTTTCCCACTGTTTTCTAAATCTCTGTGCCTTGAAGAATCCAATGAACTGAAAACTGATGCTGGTGATCTCAACCTGAGGTGCATTGACATTGAACGGAATGCGCTCCTTCAGTTCAGAGAAGGCATTATCGATCCTTTGGGTCATCTTGCTTCTTGGGTTGGCAAAAATTGTTGTGGATGGAAGGGTGTTCACTGCAGCAACCAAACTGGCCATGTTGCAAAGCTTGACCTTAGAGATAAAGGTAACTGTTTCATGAAAAGAATTCAATCTGCAGCGGCTTATTACGACAACTCATCATGTTTGGGTGGTAAGATAAGTTCTTCGTTGCTTGACTTGAAATATCTGAAATACTTGGACCTAAGCATGAATGATTTCCAAGGAATTCCAATCCCAGATTTCTTGGGTTCATTTGAGAGAATGCGTTATCTCAATCTCTCTTTCGCATCTTTTTCTGGGACTGTTCCTCCTCACCTTGGAAATCTCTCAAATTTGCGTTATCTTGATCTCTTGGCATATTCAAATCCCTATGATGACATTAGAAGGAGCTGGGTTTCAGATTTAAATTGGGTCTCTGGACTCACTTCTTTGAAATACCTGAACCTAGGAGGCCTCAACCTTAGTTTGGAAACAAATTGGCTGCAGGCTCTAAATAGGCTTCCTTCCCTTTCGGAGTTGCACTTGTCCTACTGTGGACTGCAAAACATCCCTCCCTCTCCACCAAATTTGAATTTCACTACCCTTTTGGTCCTTGATCTATCTAATAACCAATTTAAATCTCTATTCCCTCAATGGTTGTTCAATATCAGTTACCTTGCGGAACTTAAACTTTCTTCTTGTTATATGAAACCCTCCATTTCAAAAGCTGCTTGGGAAGATTTGTGTCATTTGCAGGTCTTAGATCTTTCCTTCAATGAAATCAGTGGCGACATAAGTGATTTAATAGGGGATCTTTCTCGATGCAGTAATCATAGCATAGAGGAGTTATATTTGTTGCATAATCAATTTAGTGGACAGCTGCCTGAGTCATTAGGGTTCCTTAAAAATTTAAGGTACCTTTCTCTGGATGAAAACTGGATCACAGGTCCAATCCCAGAATCTATTGGAAAGTTGTCTAATCTGAACGCATTAGGCCTAGCCGAGAACCAGTTGAATGGAACAATCCCGGAAAGTGTTGGAACACTCACACAGCTAACTATATTAACCCTCTATAAAATTCTTGGGGAGGTGTCCTATCCCAAAAGCATTTGGACGGCCTGAAGAAACTCGAATATTTTTCCATATCATCTTTAAATAGAGATTTTTCAATCAATTTAAGTGATGAATGGGTTCCTCCTTTTAGTCTAAGATTCATTGAAATCAGCAGCTGCCCCTTGGGTCCAAAATTTCCAACATGGCTCAAAACTCAGAATCAACTTGTTTCTATAATCCTCAAGGATGTTGCTATTTCAGACACAATACCTCATTGGCTCGAGAAATTATGTCCACAGATTCGAAGGTTAGATCTTTCTTATAACCAAATAGGTGGAATGCTTCCCAATTCCTTACCATTTTCCTGGGATACAGCAGTGATAGTTGACTTCAGTGTCAACCGCTTAGGCGGTCAGATCCCCCTTTGGCCTAATGTGACACATCTCATTTTGGCTAACAATTTGTTTTCAGGGTCAATACCCACAAACATTGGCCAAATGATGTCGCGACTAGAAATTTTAGATCTTTCTGGAAACTTTTTGAATGGCAGCATTCCATTGTCTATCAGCGATATGGAGTACTTACAAAGGCTATATCTGTCAAACAATCTTTTGTGTGGAGAAATCCATGGAAAATGGAGGAATTTGCAAGAAATTCGAGCCATAGATCTATCGAGGAATAATCTATCTGGTAATATTCCTAGTTCAATATGTTCAATGCCTAAGCTTTTTTGGTTAAGATTAAGCAGCAATAGTCTTTCTGGGGAACTCTCATCATTAAAAAACTGCACAAGCCTGAGTGCTCTTGATCTTGGAGACAATGAGTTTTCAGGGAACATACCACAATGGATTGGAGAGAGCTTGTTATCACTAATTGTGCTACGTATCCGGGCCAACATGTTTTATGGAAATATTCCTGAAAACCTATGTCATCTTTATAATCTTCACATCTTGGACCTAGCAGGTAACAATTTATCCGGATCCATCCCATCATGCCTGGGCAATTTGAGTGGTTTGAGTTCTTGGACCCCTTACAGTCGGTATTCACACTTATCTTACTGGAACTACATATTTACACCCCAGATGGTGCTGGTTGTAAAGGGATTGCCAACTATGTATACCCTCACACTTATTCTTGTTAGGAGTATTGATCTTTCGGACAACAATCTCCGAGGAGATATCCCTGAAGAGATAACACGTCTCTCAATGTTGGGTACCTTAAATTTATCTCGAAACCAATTGACAGGAAAAATACCAGATAGCATAGGAGGCTTAAAACAGTTGGAAACCCTTGACCTCTCATGCAACCATCTTTCAGGTCCAATTCCTCTAAGCATGACATCTATGACCTCATTGAGCAGTTTGAATGTGTCATATAACAACTTGTCTGGACAAATTCCATCAACCAACCAATTCCAAACGTTCAATGATCCAGCCATTTATGAGGGTAACCTTGATCTTTGTGGGAGTCCATTGCAAACCCCGTGCCTGACTGACAACAAAGGGAAAGTTGAAGACCGTGATGCCAAAGATGACAACAACGATGAGGATGAAACATTACCATTTTACATTAGCATGGGACTGGGATTCGGGGTGGGATTTTGGGCAGTATTTGGTAGTTTGGTAATGAAGAGGTCCTGGAGACATGCCTACTTCAAATTCCTGGATAGAGTGGCGGATTGTTTCTACATCTACGTTAGGCTGAATATGGCCCGTTTACCGAGAATGGTGAGCAAGGAGTGAAAAAGAAACTTCAAGCCAGTATAAAGGTATCTAGTCCTTTTATATTTCTCCTATTTGTGTTCCTCTTATTTACAATGACCTTCTGTTGTGTAGTTGCTGCAGGAGTTCCAATGGAAAAAGGTTAAAGTCTTGGAAACTAATGGGAAGGTGACTTCATGTCTTTTGGGTATCAAGTCTCCCCCTCTCTCTCTTTCTCTCTCTCTCTTATGTGTGTGTGTGTGTGCGCGCGTGTATCTATGTATGTTTCAGCTTTGTTGTTGTTGTTGCTAAGTTGTGCTTTGTGTTTACTGCAGAGAATGGATGCATCAGAAAGAAGAAGCTTGGAAAAAAAAGGAGATTTTACAGAGGAAATATTTCGTTATGTATTGTTATTGTGAAATAAAAGACTTTGTACTTTGTCTTATGTACTAAGTTTTGGTTGTATGTATGTATGATATACATTAGGAAGTGCAACTTTTGGTCATGCATTGGATTGCATACATTCCCTTTTTTGCCCAATGGCTTTGCCCCGAATTATGATTACTTATTTTGTTTAACAGTAGCATTACTCTTTGTTAAAAGGGCACTAAATGGCAACTTATTCGCTCGGCTAGGCTTACTTTATTCAAACATTTCAAAAAATCTGGCAACTTATTCGCCCGGCTAGGCTTACTTTATTCAAACATTTCAAAAAATCTGGGCTAGTAGATGAAGTTGGTAAAACTTTTTTTTTTTTTTTTTTGCTCTTAAAAAAGAGGTGGAGACAAAGAAGAGTGCGCAGAGACCACCCCGATAGACCCTCACTAATGAGATCATAAGATCCCTAACTGTGCCCGTTTCTCTTCTTGAGAATGACTCTAACTAAACTAACATAGTGATCAACCACTAAACTCCAATACAGACTCCAAGACTTAAACCTCCAACTTCAGGAGAATTGATAAATCTATTACTATTAGCAAAGGGAGAGAGTGGAGTCCGGCGTCCACTATGCAAACATTTTTTGTATTAAGGGAGAGTAAGGGATGAAAATTTTCTGGGTCCTCCATGTAAAATTTTCACAATATTCTGTTTTCTTCTACGTGAAACACTAATAACTTGCCCTCCAACCACAGTCATTTACAGGTTTATCTTTGTCTATTTTCGTTTTTATCTTATCTATCGAAAACTCAATTCCATGTTACAATTTTTTTTATTTTCACACTAGATGACTCTTAACACATGTTATGAAAGAGCGCAAAAATAAAAAAATAAAATAAGATTCTTTTTTTCTTATTTTCCCTCTCCCTCTTCCTCTCTCAATCATTTGCTATCATGGTCATGGGTGTTGTATGTAGGGATTTAGATCTCCTCTATTACCCCTTCCCTTCAATTTCCCTTAATACAGTGTTAGATGAGTGACACGTGTAAAATTTTGAATTTCAATGGATAAGATTTTTTTCTTGTGAGAAAATTCTTTAATAATGGTTAACACTTCACCAATAATAAAAATGAATAAGGAACATCTTATCCATTAAAATTCAAAATTTTACACGTCTCACTCATCTAACATTGTACTAAGGGGAATTGAAGAGAAGGGGTAATGGAGGAGATCTGAATCCCATATATAGAACCCTCTTGTTGACTTAACACAAAGAAAGACAGGATTAGTGAGGATATCCATGTTTCTTACTTACGTCGAGAATAAAACACACCCGTTTCTCCCTCCCCCTTGGCTGAACACCGCCTCCTACCTCACCCACCAGTGCCACCCCCAAATCAGGGGCCTAATCCCCCAAATCGCCAAGCTTAGCTTTCTAGACTTAGAAAAACACACCCCTTCATCAGCAATTCAAAAACATATCTCGAATCAATCTACTCTGGAACTTCATTATACATACAGACAGTTATGCACCTTTCATATGAACACAATTTTTTCCTCTCTAATAATTAATTTATAAAAGAATTACTATCTCTCATTGATTACCAAGAAAGAAAATTGTGTTACAATATGAACTACAATAGGGTCAACTGTGTATAGGAAGAAATCACCTGTTACAAATGACCTGCCCTGGGCGAGATTTGTCCCGAAATAAAGGAAGACAGAAAGCTTCTAAGCATGTTAGGTGCGACAACAAAACAACAGCTCGGCAGGTCATGTAAGGCAAACAAAAAATTCTAGCAATGCATTGCCATAAAGTTGTACGAAAACACACCAATTGGACTTCCTAGTGGCTTATCTGCAAATGCAAGAAACTTTTCTTGGTTACAATGTGCTGCTGGTGTAACAGAAATTATCCATACTGTTTGGTCTTCCAGCAGCCTCGGAATGAATTCTCAAATTCTCGGTCATGGGAGAAGTGTGATGAGCTGATTCGAAAAACTTAGGTACATTATGGCGGTCAATCAACACCATAGCTCAGATTTATCTGACATTTATACGCGGCCTCCTGTGCCGGTCATCATCAAAATAACTATCAGAGTGATCATCAAAATTACGAGACCTTCCACGTTGCTGGTTATAAGACCCTTCTCGTCTAGTGCTTTTGATATTCTGTGAATCACTCTTTTTAGAACTCATTCCACGCCCATCATAATCATCCCCTCGAAATCTTCTATTATTACCACGAGATCTCTGGGAAGATCTATCAAAATCATCCTTGAAAGAGTTCCTTCTGCCACCAATCATACTTCCACGACCATTGGAAGTGTTTCCTCTTCTATCTGGCCCAGCTTTATAGACTTTAAATCTATCTCTACTTGAACGTAGATCATCATCATCAGATTCTAAACCAGAGGACTCATCTTCAAAATTGGGACCTACTCTCCTTCCAAAATCACTTCTACTAGAAACCCGTTTATTGCCTTTTTTCTGTCTGGATCCAAAATCCTCGCCTCCAATGTCCTCGTTGCCAGAACTAAGCCCAAGGTCATCATCTGAGCTGAAATTCATCACCTGTCTGCCTCTAGTTCTCTGTCTAGAATCAGCAACATGACTAGATTTCCAGTTAGGATGAACCGGAAGATCATCATCTGAACCAAAACCTATTTTATCATCCTCAGGGTCAGAGAAAGCCGCTTTTCGTCGCATTGGCTTGGATGGTTTCTTGTGTGTTCGGGAACTGGTTCCGTGACGAGCAGGCCAACTGTTGCCAGTGCCTTCAATATCTTCAGAGTCAGAGTTATCTTCAAGCTCAGAGAAATCAATTGACGAAGTCTTCTGAACTTGGCTACGATTTGGAGTATCTAACTCATAACTGTTTATATCATCTTCATCATCAAAATCATCAAATCCCATTCCAGGTTTCTTCGGACCATGATCCAAATATTCTCTTCCATGCACCCCTATTGGCCTCTTGTTCTCATAGAAATCATCTTCGGGCCCCCTAAAATTGTCTCCTCGAGGCCTACTATCCAGGGGAAAATCTTCATCAAGTTTTTGAGAATCTGCATTCTCAAAAGCAGCAATATCTGCCCCATCAGATTCGTTGTCATCAAAGTCAAAGTTCCATGCATTAGAGACCTCTGCCCTGTTAGTGACTTTCTCCAACCTCATCCTGGGACCATGTTGCCTCTCTTGCATTTGATTCCCCATAAACTCATCAGGTGGGCGGTTGTGTTCACAATGAAAACATACCATATTTCTCCTATAATTCAAGAAATTGCACCTGCCAACAAAATAGAGGACCAACAATTAACATGTTAACTAGATAAAGAAATTAACACTGGTACACAAATTGCATCTAGAATGTATGCATGAAGATTATAAACAGGTTCCAGAATCACCGTTCCCAAGGTTTTTTTTTTAATGTAGTCTGCAGAAAATCTGGAATAGAGAAGTGAAAGAAGCAAAGAGAAAACATACTGAGGGCATTCCCATTCTCCTGGGAGCAGCTGTCTCTTAGGACGCTTGGCGTCACATTGCAGGCAGACGGTATTCTTTGCAAAATTCATGAAGTCACACCTGAGACCACAATTTTACCATTGTTAATAAGTTACGCAGGAGATCTTCTTTGCAAATAATTTAGTTGCTACAAGAAATAAAGAAATATGGTTCAACTCCTAAATCCTGAGATATCCTTCTATAACCAGCTCATGTTGGCCCCATGGTGGGCTACACCATGCAGACCAAAGATGGAATTCGACACCAAAATCAACTATTCCAAATATATGGAGCCATCCAACATCTCTTGGTCTTGTGCAGCCAGAGAAGTCAATGTGCACGATCAAGTATTGATAAGTAATTGTTCACATCCACACAACTTGAGGCTGTTTGATGTAACAATGATGATGCATGAGCATTGCGAAATTTTTTTTTTTTTTGGTTTAACAATTAGAGATGTTCGGGTCAGCTTACACGCACCTCAACTAATTTCCTCCCTGGTCCGGTCAAAAGGCAGGGCAACCACACCGGAATTGGGGTATTCATAAAAGATAAATTCCTCATGGTCAGACCCCAAGGGGTTGCCAAGAATTCGAACTTAGGAAGTCTGAGTTTACAGTTCGTCTCTGTTACCACTTGAACAATCCCAGTTGTGGTTGAGACATCCCAAGTAGGCATGTGTATATGCCATTCTTATATGAGCTTATGACCCAAGGTAAGCAAGCTGATTTGAATATGCTAATAGTCCAAAGAATGCTAATATTCCCAGAATGCAATGAATGACATTAGAAAGAATTTGAACAACCACCCCTGAGGGAACGCAGTAAACAAGTGTATTTCTTGGGATAGATGAACTCCCAAATAAGTTTTCAATCGGACCTTAATGGTCATAGCATCCTGACAGCAATTTCAAAAGAAAAGATACAATGCATGTAAGAATTAGAGAACCATCAGAAATGGACCTACTTAGGACAGAGCCAATCGCCTTTTTTCATCTCAATGTCATCACGTCCAACCCTTCTCTTCGGAGGAGGAGGAGGCTGCTTCACCTTTGGTGGAGGCTTCTTAATAACAGGAGGAGGAAGATTTGGATCTATTGGGACTGAACTCAATTTGACCACCTCATGAAGCAATTTTCGTACAACAGTCTTCACAGATTTTATTTTCAGAAGGGACTTGTTAGGTACTGATCCATTCACAGGATCAAAACCATACGTCAATAGCACACGCATCATGTCTATAGTTCGTGCTTCATCCTCTTTGTTAGTTAACAAAAAGGCTCTTTCGCAGGAGCTCCTCAAACTGCAGGAACTACATACCTGAGATATAGGGCAGCAAAATAATTACCAGTGGAGTTCGTTTTTATTTTTTATTTTTTTGGGTACAAGCATAAAGTAATCGTTTGCAAAAACTGTGTCCAAATATGGACGTATTTTTAGCATTTGTTGCCCTCTGTATCGGCACTCTGAACAACAAAACATTTCTTTTCACTTCAATTTAGTCGCCATGACTAATGTCCCATATTTGAGTTAAGCACTATAACAATCTAAGTTTCAAATCAGATATAGGTGTTGCATCTACTTTCATTTCTCTTTTGGGAGATTGAAAAGTTCTAGATTATTTAGTTTCTCTTAAAGTACACAAAAAAATGAACGGTGAAAAAAATGTTACAAGCACTTACGTATGATTTACGAACAAACAGACCATTATCTCACCAAGGGATATTGGAAAATGTTATAGGTATGGGATGTGTTGCAAATGAATATCAAAAACTTTCTCAACAAATGAAAACTGCTATAATACAAGTTACTTGTTGACTCAAATGATGACCAACACACTGCTTGTATGCCAATAATTGATGCCTCTATCAATCGTTCATGTAAAACATAGGTGCTTTGTGCACCATTAGTTGGAGACAATCTAGATATCCCCACTGGCATACCTTGTTAAGTATTAAAAAGATCAAAATGTAACAGTGAACACATAAAGGATATGCAAAACAATATAACTATAAGCAATCAAAAAAATCTAGATCACTGCAAGCACATTGTTTTCAACTAAGATGTCAAGACCAAGACTTTATTTAAGCTTTCTTGGCCAAGAAAATTCTATATCTAAAACCAGATATACATTCCATTTAAATTGAGAAAATGATGATCTATGAACCACCAAATTACGTATCTATAAAAAAGGGTTAAAGAACAAAATACGTGTTTTTTCCTTGATTAGAGACAGTTTATTTCAATTAGAATAGAGAAATACAAAATAGTGGATAAGTAATTCAACTTAAGCAAGAGAAAAAAAAGATAATGCATAGAAGATTTAACAATTACAAACGGCACTCCAATTGTGTTGTAATAGCATAAGAGGGAATCATGAAACTCCTTTGTTACCGGTAAGAGAAGCCAAAACTTAGTTGTATCCCACAAAAGACCCACCTCTTCATCTTCACCTTTGAAAATTCAGTTATTCCTTTCTATCCACACCACCCAAAAAATAGCCATTGTAGTCCACCCCCACAAGATAGAAGTCATTTGCCCTTTATCAAGACCAAGACATTTTGCAAGCAAGGAGGCACACGTGGAATGACACTATTCAAGTCCACCTACTTAATCAATTTATGTCATAAGAACATTGCCATGGGATAATATAAGAATAAGTGATCAACGTTCTCACTACAAGCCTACAATCCACAAGGAAGAGATAGACAAGAATGAGGCCTTCTCTTTTACAACACATCAAAAGAATTCACCTTCCCATACATGATCATCCAGACAAGATCTGTGCTTTCACATTCATTTTAACCTTTCAAATCATCCCATAAGGTTCAAAATTCAAGAAACTAGAATCATTAATGAACCACTGGAAACAAAAATTATCGGGGAAAGTAACCGAGGAATCAAATAACGATACTCTTTTATCAAAAGCTGATGGAACCAAAAAATATTAATTAACATAATAGAGAAGAAAAATTCAATGCTATATCATTCAAATTCCTGAAGAAAAAAAATAAGATTCCATCTTCGAAAGAGAAAGGAAGAGAATATCATACTATCCAAAGAAGTGTTATGTGAAAGAGACAATCTAAAGATTCAAGGAAATAACAATTCAAGGGATGATTCTCTCATCCAACATCTTCCCAAAGACGAATACGCTTCCCAATTGAACCCCCATTCTAACATGATAAACATTGCCTTTCAACCGTTGAAAAATAAATGTCCAATGATTTCAAAAAGAGCTTCTACTCACCACAGTGGAGTCTCATCCATTAGGATGAAATTCATATTCACATTTGATAACAAAATGTCAAAGTTAATCAAGTTCCAAGGGTAATTTATCCAAAACCACCAATATATCCAAAACCACTTGTCCAACAGTGACACATTCCTCTTTATTAAATCTAGTGAGATGTTTCTCAACAACTACATTAACATCCCTTGAATTGCAATGAAGTCGAAGTCAAAAAGATTTGATCCACTTATGTGTGAAGTTGTTTGGATTCTTTGGATGTGGTAAGAACGTAAAATGAAAGAGGATAGGCCTATAGTTTATAAAGAGAATAAAATTAACAATTAGGAAGAAGAGATTGTAACTCATTTTTGTATCTCTCCTTTTTTTCTAAAGGAAACAAAGACTAAATTAATAATAAAAATAAATATAGTAAAATATGAGAGCAAAGGTGGACAAGTAAACAGGCTGTAGTGCAACACAACAAAGAAGCACTATAACAAAAATACTCAACTCAACTAAACAAAGTATTAATACCAGCTATTTGGGGTCGCCTACATAAATTATATTTCTCCATTATGCTCTATCAAGGATCATATTTTTCATCAACTCTACACTATCATTTTTTTTTCGCATTACTATCAATATGTATCAAAACACTCTTCGTTACTGGTGTATTACTAGGTCCTCTATAAACATGTTCAAACCACTTATGTCGATTCTCTTGTAATTTATCTCGTATTAGTGTTACTTTTACGGCTTTACAAATGTAATCACTTCTAATTCTCTCTTAACTTGTTTTTACAATAGATCCATCTAAACATCTTTTTTCTGCAACACTTATTTTTTAAGCATGCTATTTCTTAATTGCCCAATATTATGTAACATAAAGCATTGTCGGTCTAATGATTGTCCTACTAAACTTACCTTACAACCTAAGGGGTATACATCGATAACACAGTATGCCAAATTCATTCCTCCAATTAGGTAATCCTGTTTTAGTTCTATGAATGACATCTTTTCCAATCTCCCCCTCCCGATGGATAAGTAACCTTAAATACCGAAAGTGTTCACTCTTAAGTATCTCTTGATGTTCAATCTTTTCTACCTCCCAATTTGAATTTCAACTATTACTAAAACTACAATCTATATATTTTGCTTTATTTTCACTTAACCTAAATACTTTTGATTCTAAAGTTTCTCTCCAAACTTCTAGTTTACCGTTAATACCTATTTTAGTTTCATCAATCAATACTATGCTATCAGCAAATAATATAAATAGTTGTACCTCATTCAAAATGTGTCTAGTCAATTTATCCATGGTTAAGGTAACGAGAAATGGACTTAAAGCGAAAGCTTTATGTAGGTCTAGCATGATTGGGAATTTACTACATTCCATTCTAGTTGTTTTAACAAATGTCACAGTTTAACAAATGTCACTGCACCCTAGGGGTGCAACGCGGGCAGGTTGGACAGTCAACCATAACCCAACCCTAGATATATAATCTTTAACCCTAACCCTACCTCGGATTGAGAAACTCAACCCGAGTACTGCCAGAGTTTAATTCGAGCGGGCTCGAGTTGAATTCGGGTTAATGATTTCGAGCTGATTTCGAGTTACTTTACGGGTTTAATTTGAATTGAGTTCGGGTAGAGCCCAAAATAGGCTTGTTGTTCTAAACCTAATACATATATTACATAATATTCACCTAAATTAACAACCAATAACCTCAACCAAATTTTTAACAGTGCTAATGGTAGAACAAAAATGAAAATAAACTAGAGTGACAGAGAACAATGGAACAAAAATGAAAAATCAGTGTTAATGCTTTATTTATATATATATAAATTTTTTTTTTAATTTGTAGGGTTCGGGTTGAACCCGTGAATCCAAGGCCTTTAACCCAGGCCCAACCCAAATTGAATTCGGGTTGGGATTTTTTAACCCAAGTCCAACCCAAATATTAAAAACCCTTGCCCAAGCCCTAATCTTTTCGAGTTAGGCTCGGGTTGAAATCGGGTTGCCCAACCCAAGTTGCACCCCTACTGCACCCTCAAGCATATCCGTAATCATGTTAATATATTTATTTTTAACTCTTTTCTTTTCTAAATCTCGCTATATGAAGACCTTTATTTTCTCTCTATACCTTGTCATCAGTCTCTCAAGTATATAACCACCATTGTTAACCTCCCAACTTAATACCTTAATAATTTGTGCAACTCCAAATGTCCGCTTTGCTTTTATATATGGGTACCAAAATATTCTTCCTCCACTCATATAACATCTTCTTAGTTGTTATAGTCTTATTGAATAGTTGTGTTAACAAGATACCTCGATATCTTCTAAACACTTCTAAACCTCAATCGGTACACCAAAGTTATTTAACATTAGGATCACAAATAACCATCCAACTTGCCATCATTTCAAAAATAGGCACTTGCAAATTCATTTGTTACTAACGACTAAAAAGATGCTAAGAAATAGACACAATTTCACAACTCTTCAAACACCTCAGTCCTCTCACTTACCCGCAAGAAATCTTGCCTTTCTTTCCAACTAAATACCCAAATGATGGCAAACCTTGCAAAATAACAAAGTGGAAAACCCAAATGATGGCAAAACTTGCAAAATAACAAAGTGTAATTCCACTGCTCTTCCTTCTGAAGTCATTAAACTCCACGAAAAACATAGTTGATATGGATCTTGGAATCACCCAACAATGCCCTACCATCTCAATTTATGTATATATCATAGATACCCACAAAATATGAAGGAAGAGGAAGACATATTTTCAATTCATATTTATCTAGTTACTGATTATGATAATGTATGCATTTCTATAAAAAAGTTAATCGTGGTTTTTTAAAAAAATACACCGATACATCCTTGAACTAGATACTTCTCTTAGATTTTGGATTTATTTAAGGGAAACAATATCCAGAGGATTGGGAAAAAATCATACATACATGATACAATAGCAATCTAGAATGAAATGAGAAGTAAATGAACATGTGAGACACACTCCAAAAAATAAACATATCAAGGAAAAGGGAAAACTATGTTATAAATTGTTTGCTAACTATTCACCATATGGGAAACAATAACACACTAACAAGCTAATGGAACAAAGCTTACATCTCCTTCATCGAGGTGAACATGTTTCCTCAACAACTTTGCAGAAAAAACCACCTTCTTGTCTGTACTAGGACATCCATAACCAACTAAGATCTGAATATCCTGTCTTGACAATGACCTGAAATCAATTACCATCCAATGCACGTCTCAAGCAAAGTGGCATTAATTGAAAAAATCTCACACATAGTACATACCAAAGCAAAGGACAATTACCAATTACCCACTTAAAAGCATATTTCAACCTTGAAACTCCCCAAAAATATTATTCGTATAGATCACATATCCGCAAAATTTTTACCAGCTTCCTTTATTCAGTATAAAGTGGGATATGTGTCTATTATGGTGTGGGAGAATGTTATGACTTAAGTTTTAGCTAACATAAGACATGGATCTCAAGCAAAATAACACAGCTCGTCACACAAGGCATTTGTTTGTAAGTCTTTAAGATGATTAATAACTTTGTGGCTTTGTCACACGATAAAGAAATCTTTATAAAGGAATTGTATACAACAGATGTACTCAACAGAACAGTGCAACCTAACCTGATATACTTAGACGTCATCATTTCTCACACCCTTTATTTAGTTATTAAGGGAAACTAGGAGAAAGAAGTACAGTAATTTTGAAATCTTATCAATGTCTGAAAACAGCACACAAATTACTCTCACTGTAAATCTCTGTCCTTTCCTTTTTCAAAGTTAAATTTGTCAACGTTCCTAATGAAAAGGACCTGTCTCACAAAACAAGGTGCTCCTATGCACTGTTTAATTTCATTCCCTGGATTTAAACTTGCAAGCAACTACACTATACAATACACTGAATATCCTTAGAAAACCATAAGCTAAGGAATGTAGGATTGAGAGCAACGGGATTTTGGACCAAAGATACTTTTTACCTTTTGAGGACTTTGCGTTCTTTAGGTCAGGGTTAAAGTTCCCACTTTCCCTTCCGCTCTGCGTTCTTTAGGTCAGGGTTAAAGTTCCCACTTTCCCCGCTCCCCCCCCCCCCCCCCCCCCCCCAAAAAAAAAAAAAAAAGAGGAATGTAGTATTGGGAAGTTAAACTAGAACGGCAAAACACATCAAACATTTATAACTCAAATTTAGAACTTTCTTTCTTGCCACCCGCTGCATTATCCAATCAACCAAACAGAGGAAAAAAAAGAAAATTAATTTGTCTAAGCATCAAATGTTTCGTCAACCAGCTCAATTTACTCAATTTACTTATCGTCAAGCGCATCAGAAAATAAAAGATACACACGCCCAACACGGAATCACTAAACCACTGACCTCAGGATATCAAACCGGTCACGCCCAAAATTAAGCACTGCAGTCTGAACAGTCTTCCAGTCCGTAGTAAAATCAAACCCTTCTTCAACCATTTCCGGCATATCAAACCCCAAGTTCTCCACCATCTTGTCCTCGTCTTTCCTCCTATGATCAAAATAGTTCTGCTGAACCAACCTCTCCATCAGTTCTATCCACTCCGGCCATGGGTGCACCAATTCCACCTCTTTACTCAACACCCCATCTCCTCTCTCCACCTTCTTGTCCACTTCTGACTCAACTGAGCCAGACTCGGCCGAGTTTGACACAGTGGAATTCCCACGGATTGGCTCATTGAAAGTTTCTTCCTCTTTAGTTTTCTTCGATTCACGCCATGCGCGGATGCGTTGGAGTGTTTGGTCCTTCTGAGCGCGTTCTCTTTCGATGGCATCAATTTGGTCGAAGACGAAAGACATGCGAGCTGAGAGAGAAGAGGGTTTGATGTTGGGTTGGTCTGAGGTGGTTTGCGTGGACCAGTTGGATTGGAGAGAGGAGAGAGAACAGAATGGTTTGGGATGAGAGGGAAAGAAGGAGAGGGTGGCTCTGAGGGACGATAGGCGTCGTTGGAGTAGGAGAGAGAGAGCCATTTGTGTCAGAGTCTCGCAGGGGAGTGCTTTAGGGTGAGGTAAAACCCGCCATGGATGAGTAATGTGTGAGGGACAGCTTAAACCCTGCAAGTGGAGGATTGATTGTAACTTTGTAAGCTTATTGTTGGGCCCCAAGTTCTCATATCAGTAGGCTGTTAGCCTGTTGTTCACTTGGGTTTTACAATAAACCTGCATCGTACCAAATCTTTGGTAAGCATGGTATGGATGTGGCCATCCTTAAATTTCTTTTTTCCTCTCATTTAAGTCTCTTATTTCGAACTATTAAATTTATTTCATTTATAATTACTCCATTAATGACTAAGTTCATCTCATTTATATTTTAAAGTAACCAAAAAAAAATTGTAATTAAAACAAAATTTCAATGTTCCAATGTGATCTAGAATATTTCTAGATGTTTTGAAATATTTTGACATATTTATTTCAATATCTTCAAAATATTTTTGAGGTGTTTAAAGATAGTTTAATATATTTTGACCAATATTTTAAAAATAAATTATTTATTTATTATTCATTTTTATTTTATTTTTGTACTATTTATGTACCTAAATAATATACCGAAATAAAATTTTGATTATTGTTTATATAATAGGTTGAGATGATGTGAACTTAATAGTTTAAAATAAGAGAATCAATTGGGGTGGAAAAAGAGATTTAAGGTGCAGAAATAGCCCCACTCATTTGGTAAATTATAATCATGGGATGATTAGCGAGAGCTTCAATTGAATTGAAAACATTCTTTGAGTATGGATCTAAATTATATTAAACCATTTGTAAATGTCAGTATCTGCCAAAAAAAAAAATTATTTCCTATTTTTTATTTAATTATTCAATTATACACACTTATATACTTTCATCTAATTTTTATTTTTTTACACCTATTTGACTTTCAAATTGTTTTGGACTTTTTTATACAGACTTACAAAATTTTTTTAACTCATTTCTTAATAGAAAAGTTAAATAAAATTATTTATATCTATATGAAGAAGTAAAGTCTTATATAAGTTAAATTATTATACGCATATAGTTATCAGGTTAAATTCTATGGTCAAATATATGTTATTTTTTATTTTTGGTATGCAATATAATCAATCTATTAAACAAAATAAAAATTAATAATTCTATAATATAATTAGATGTGCAAATGCCTAAATGAGTTAAAAAGATATCTAAATAAATAACAAATTAGTCACTCAAAAAATTTATAGAATAAATTAATAATTAAATTTAGTAATAATTAAAATATAAATTAATTATTCGGCACCTAATTTGTTATTTAATTTAATTACACATATAATTCAAATTTTCTATTAAAATAATATTATTTAAATTTATTTATGTGAAACACACGTTGTGCATTACTAGTTTTTATAAATGGAGGCATCAAATATATATATTTTAACTCTTCAAGAAAAATTTATGCCTTCCACAATGGAATCAAATAAGCTGAGCCCATTTCAAACTCGAGTTTTATACAAACCTTTCAGTTCAAGTATTGTCTATGTTAGAATTTGTGAAATTAGATTGAAGACCAGCTTGTTAGGAAATTGTTTCTTATAATTGTCTAATTCCGTGAAGTATTGTCATGATGTTTCAAAGTTGAAGATCCAAAAGCTACAAGAAAGAAACAATTCAAGCTACAAGTCACATCATGAATATATATCTAGATCCTTCAATGTCTAGGATATGTAATGATCTTAGAGACATTAAGTCCCTTGGTATTTTATTTTGGCTCACTAGGTGTTAACAGAATGGATTTAGAATAAATCATACATGACTCATATACTTTTTCGTTAAAAACATTGTTGAAACCTTGAATCTTGTTTTGAAAACATAAATTGAGTCATAGATCAAATCCTTGTTGAGCAATACCCTTTAGTTCTTGTTAGGAAAATATTGTAATTAGCGAATTCCAAGAGATTACTATGTACCTTGTATTTCAACTAAATTCATGGTCAAGAGATTATCGAAGATTGAAGACCGAAACAAGATATGGTGAAGAAGTTCAAACTATATTACAATATGATTGAAGACTTTTTGGATTCTATTAAGCTTAGGTGAGGTAAGGTGACCTAGATATCTAGTTGTCCTAATTTGGTTTATCTTAGGTGATAATCTTGGATTTAAATTGTGAGTATTTAATCTGTTCATGACTCGTGTGTTTTTTTGTGTTAAAATATTTTTGAAACTTAAAGGTTTTAGTTTTCAAAAGTGATTTTTGAAATGAATCATTGGATGAAAGCCTTCTAAATACCCTTTGGTATTGAGTGAGTTCTTTTAGAGCCTTGAATTTTTGAGTAAACTAGTGGATAGAGCTCTCATCATTAGCAATTCTGGCAGGACTGAAAAAGAGGATTCCAGATACTATCGTTTTGTCATAGCACTCAAGTGCTACCCCCAGTTTGGATGCAGTTTGACTTTCTAGTGATCAGTGCTCTCTAACTTGCTCTCCACAGAGCTCGAGCGCTGCATCACGAACATGATTTCAAAGTCACTCAGTGTAATACCTAGTCAAGGGTGTGGTGGGTGTAATGGAGGAGAGAGTATGTAGGGAGAGAAAAAAAGTAAAAAAAATGGGGAGGGCACATGTTTTATGGAAGGAGATAGTTATGGGGTATGTGTTGTGCACCAAAGAAAGGGAGGAAGTAAATAGAGGATAAAGAGAGTATGGGAGAGAGAGAGAGAGTATTGATTAGATTAGGTGAAAAAAAATAATAACAATAATGTAATGTTGTCTAGGGAGGGAGGGAAGTTAAAAATAGGGAAAAGAGGGTTTTGGCCAAAGAAAAAGAAGTAGAGAGTTGTAGGTCGGGAGTAAAAGAGGTTGGCACACATGTCTTATGTCAAAGTATTCAAAAGGAATTAATAGGATAAAAGGATGGGATGAAAAGACTCGAGCTGTCTATTAACTATCAAGACCAACTTTTGGACAAAAGATGCCTTCTAGTAGGTGGAGTTAATGAATATTCTCGCACTAGTTAGAGTGTCTATCTTAAACATGGTAGTTGTGTGCATTGTGGGGGCAAGTAATTTAGCTATTTCTAGCATAGGTACTCGGACAGTTGAAATTTCCCTATGGGCTACCCATGATTGCCTCTATACAAGAGTCAATGTTGTACATGACACCTATACCCGTTGGCAACTACCTTACCTACTTTTGTTCGGAGGGTCACACATTATGAGCTATGTGTCCCAATCATTAATTAGGTAGGCGTGACATCACCTCGAATGCAACTTGGACTTGGTCCCTGAGAAAGGGGTGTATTCTTCGAGGTAAAAGGGTTACCCAAGGTAGAAGGGTCGTGACTAGTCACCGCGGGAACATGACCGTAGAAGGGTCATGCTTGTGGTGCACCTAGCACACGCATACCTCAATGTTCCCTTTTCCCTTTGAAGCCCCCTCCCGACGCCCTCAGCCATGATGCCCGATTAAGGTTTCTCACCTATGAAGCACGGATACAGATACGGCGATATGGGATACAGCGATACGATAAAACTGAAAAAAAACAGGATATGGATACGGCTAGGATACGTCTATAAAATATATATATATTTTAAATTTTATTATTATATTTACTCTATGATCTAATGGTTCAAAATTCATTCTAATATTTTTCCTTGCTCAAAAACATCAACTTAAACAATAGACTCCCCTATTTCAAGACATGACAACCCTACTGATGATGCCTAAAGTAAATCACATGCGTTAGCTCAGGAGTTCAGCTCAGACTAGGAGATCAATCATATTAATTGAGGTCAGAAGGTCAGGGGCTGAATGTCTCTTGAGGCAAGACAACAGTTGGATAACCACGAGAGGTTCCTAAAGCGTTAGAAATCTATAATCAAAGCACTTAATCTCAACCAACCAAGATCTTCTCCTAGAATTAAGGAGAAGCCCATGAAATAAGGGCAAGAATCTCGGCCAAGATCCCATTGAATAGGCAATAATTCTATAAATACTATGTAAAGCCCCCAAAGAAGGGTAAAGGATCCTAGAGGCGAAAACTAGCAATTGTACTCTGGTAATCATTATTATTGAAAGGCAAGGAGCAAGAGTCTCCATTAAGGAATGAATTAGCCAAGCTTCCGAGCTGGTGAACCACTATACTTCCTCTGTGTTAATCCTCTCAGCCCCTAGAAAAGCATTTCAATCATTATCGCACCACCATCACTGCAAAGCATAATAACGATTCACTACTCATACAATTCGGTTTACACCATCACCTACTAATTCACACTGCTAACACTGCCAATTGCTGAATATTTCAAGCTTTTATCTGAACATCGTATCTTCTCAATCCAAATTTTGTGGTTTTAATCTAATCTTGATTTTGAGGCAGTTTTTGCCAAATAAAATATTGAAACAGGTACTTTGATTATTATCTAATTGTGTAAGAGAGAGGAGAAGACAACAATGATGTAAATGATAATGCAAAAGAAATGCTCATTGCTTCCACTATCCCAAGGAAGGCCTAAACCCACTATTCGTTTCACCAAATTAAAGATCAAAACTTTTTTCTTCCTCTTCAATCCTTTAGAAGAATAAAGATTATGAATTCAATAAAAAAAAAGTGAACAAATTAGATCAATCACAATCTGAAATCCAAACAGATCAAGCACAATCTGAAATGAGAACAAACCTCATTCTCCAACATCCGACCTAGCTGCCTCTTCTCTTCAAGGTCTCCACCATAGCGTTGTCTGCTTAGCTTGTCTGTATAGTTTGTTCTCCAAATTGCTACAAAAATTAAAAAAAAAACCCCTTAATTGCAAACCCTAATTCAAGGCCACCAAAAAACCCCTTAATTGAAAAGTGCAAACTCTAATTCAAGGATCAAAATGAGTGCTAATCACTGGTAAAAGGCAAAAGAGACGACAGAGAGACAGAAAAATAGAGAAAGAGGAGAGAGCTTACCCGATAGGATGTTCCAAAGAGAGATAGGATGTCCTCCGTCTTCAAGAGATGCTGTCGTCGATCAAGAGATAGGATGTACAGGTCGTTGGAAGAGGAATACCCGTCGGCCGTCGTCGATCAGCCTCAAAGACAGTCAGTCGTTGATCGTGAGAGAGAGAGAGAGAATTAGTCGACGATCGACTGATGGGGGGGCCTATGGAATAAAAGAAAATAGGGTTCTATAATATATTTGTAAATGAGGACCTAAACATATTTGCTCATGTACCCCTATATTTTTTAAAAAATTCAAGTAATATCCCGTTGTATCCGAAAAGTATCCTAAGCATATCCCATCCGTATCCAAAGTGTATCTGGCCGTATCCGAAAAAAAATTTATTTTTTTAATTTTAGGATACTTCTCAGTCGTATCTGATACGTATCCGGCCCTATCGGAGGCATATTTGTATCCAAAACGTATCTGATACCCGATACTTTGACCCTTTCGAAGTATTCGTACTTCATAGTTTCTCACTTAGTTTTGGTTCTTCAACCTCCAATCCACATCTTCTATCCTCCTATAGGTTAATCTAGACCATTAACCCTTTGTACTTTAGTAAACCTTCCAGATCCCACTTAGCACAACCTAGTGGGCAGTAAGTTATACACAAGGAGGCCTACTCAAGCAGACTTAATCTTTGAAGCCCTACTCAAGGCCGAGATTGATAATTGTGTTCGTCCACCCTTATTACTCAGTTCTCCCTCAAGGAGAGTCTTATTGTCTTATCTTAAACCGCTAACCCCTTCTCTTGATCCCTTAGGCCAATCAAGTAATGATATACTATTTGTTAGAGATATACTCGCTGCTATTTGTGGGGTCCCACCTGTGTGCCTGTACTTTCGTGGTGAGGGAGGCGAACTAGACAAGTCTTGCTAGGATTGCCCTTAGATGCTTATGGTTCCACTATTTCCCTTTTGGACAAGGATTTGTTTTAGACATTTCCATGGCAAGAAGGATGAGTTTCTTTGTGGTGCGGGGTATGATTTGCAGTCACTGCTCATTTAACATGACTTTGGCTATCCAAGGATGGGTCTATGTTGTCATATCAGCCTATTGCCCCTCCTTAGTCATGTAATGTGTTGATTTGTGATTAGTACACATGTCCATATTTTATAGGCTACTATGTTTGTCCTTTTGCATGTGTTGGGTTGTGGGAAGAGGCACACAAATGCACACTATAGCTCCTTTTTGTCGAGTCTACACATTATTTCTTCTTTTTATTTCGTGGTGAACTACATCTTTTGGGGCAAGTGAATTAAATAAGGCCTCATAGTTCCTATGTCATTAGTCATGGAGTTCCTATGTCCTGTGTCGTTAGTCACGACTGCAATTATTAATGGCATTAATTAAACCATCGCGACTTTAGCTGAACCATCGTGGTCATAATGATTGCTAGTATTCATTGAATCGTTGTAGGTTACACCACGTCAGCACCAAAACTTGTTAAGTGCTCATCTCAAGGGCCACGTTCGCTCTTATACGAGGCATCCTATATAAACGTTTTCTTAGATCATTTCTTATCCTCTTCCTCATTTGAATCCCTGTTTTATACTCCCAAACTCCTCTTCCCCATATCTTTTTCCAACAACCTCACTCTCTTTTTTTAATGGCTGAGACACGAAACATTCACCCAAGTGTGGTCCCTCCCTCTCAATAATGGAACCACGCCCTTTCTCGGGTCACATCATGGATAACTTCTTCAAGCACCTCTATGAGTACAAAAAGTGCGCAGAAGTATAAGTCTCGAGTACTTATATGTTGACTTAGCAAGTAATGGATTAGCCTTTAGTTAACCTCGAGTGGTTCTCCGTAGTTTTTCCCTGAGAAGGGTTTTCAGCATCAACAAATCACTTGTGTTCTTTATTATTTATCATATACACTTGATTGTGTTTATAAATTTGATTGTTTGATCATCTATTCAACCATAGTTGTGCAAATTGGGTTTTGGGTTTGGGATCGCTGTGAGATTGATTGTTGAGTGAATTAATTGAATACTAATTAAATCAATCGTCATGAGTTGTGGTGACTAAAGTGGTTCTCACATTAATAGCTTAATCTTTGTGAGAAGAGGTAATTATGGTGGGTTAGGTTTTAATCGATAATCAATTGAGCGTTAAATTAAAAAATCTATTCACCCATTCTAATGAGTTTCACATGTATAATTGTAAGGGAAGATCCACATCGGGTTTTTCCTCCTAGAACAAAAATTGGTATCATAGAATGGTTGCCTTGAGATTAGACACACTAAGTAGACATATCTTGTTTGTGCTTACTTGCCTAGTTTACCTTCGAGAGATCTATCATTACTACTACTTAGTCCTGAATGGATTCTCAAAAGGAATGTGGTTCAATTGGATGACCACCACCCTTTGATGGATTGAACTTTGCATATTGGAAAGCTCGCATGAGAACATTTCTTAAATGCATAGACCAGAGAGTGTGATTAACTATCCAAGAGGGTTGCAACCCTCCCACCATCACCATACAAGTTGAAGATGTTGTAGTGATGGTTGAAGTAAAATCCTTGAAGTTATAGACTAAGAACTAGAATGAGTCCGCAGGGTGGAACTCAAAAAGTTTGAATGTAAAAAAAAATAAAAAAATAAAAAAAAAAAAGCTTGAATGCGATATTTGCATATTGGAAATCTCAAATGAGAGAATTTCTTAAATCCATAGATGAGAGAGCGTGGTTAACTATCCAAGAGGGTTGTAGACCTCCCACCATCACCACACAAGTTGAAGATGTTGCGGCGATGGTTAAAGTAAAACCCCTGAAGTTATGGACTAAAAACTAGAATGAGGTCACGGGGTGGAACTCAAAAGGCTTGAATGCGTTATTTAATACCGTGACAATGAATGAGTTTCAAATGATCGTGAATTGCAAAACTTCAAAGGAAGCGTGGGACATCTTGGTTGTTTCCCACGCAAGGAACTTCCATGGTGAAGATATCTAGACTCCGAAGGTACACTGATTAGTATCAGATAATGCATCAATTTGGTGAGTACAATTAGTCATTTAAATCAGATGGATTGATAAATTTATTGATTTATTTAAGATTTGATGTTATGTTAGTAAGGGAAGGAGTGTGTTTGTTTTATAGGTATTTGATCCAAATTGGAGCGATAATGGTGGATATAGAGTGGAAGTTGAAGATGAAGTTACTGGAACATGTGTCCAGATGGGTATTTCTATTGCATCCGGATGGGATTTCCAGAATGGGAAGGCGAAGGTTTTAAAGGATTGGTGTACAATGTCAAGTGCGTCCAAACACATATTATTGAGGGGCAAGGACTCTAAAAGTAGAGTTAGATTTTGATTAGTCTTCTGTGGGGAGAAAATATATAAGGAGGAATTGTTATAGATGATGATTCAATTTTTATTTTTTATTCTGGTTGAATTTTATTATGTCTGGCTAAGAAGTCTGAGTAAAACAAGGGGAGAACTTTTCAATGAAGTGTGGTATTTTATTGACTTAATGGTTTTATGGTATATGATATTTTGTTAGTTCAACTTTTAATTTCATTGATAAAGTTTTTACTCTGTAAAGATTATTAAATTTTTGTATTTTATACATTAATTAATTGAATTTTCCTGCAAGACAAATAACTAGTTTTTCCTTGCTTAAGTTGATTACAATTGCTTCACATAATAATATAACCAGAGGAAAGTGTGGTTAAGTCAAGAGTTGGTTTGCTAAGAAAGTTTGATTTGTTGTAGACTCCGGGCACAACAAATGCTTACAATCAGTAAACAATTCTTTTGATTTTTCTGAATAATCCTTTGGATATAAAGAGTGGTATTTTCGTGTTCTTATTGCTAAATTCTCCAACTGGGATCACTTGACAATTTGACTCTTGATTGAGTTGGAAAACTAAGTCATTAATAATTACCGTACAGATTTGAAAGTGTGTCCCTGATGCTTTAGTATTTTACGTATTGTTTTAAGCAATTTATTCTAATTTTATCAATTAAAACACTCTTTTCGAGAAAATTCTTCATAAGTTTGTTAACTGATTTAATTTGGTGACTCTTATTTTCACAATTCTCTGAGGGTTCAACCTCGGCTTACCGAGTATATATTATTTTTCATAAACTGTGCTTGGGTTTACATTCTTGAAGGTGTAGCATACACCTCTTAGTTCGATACTTTGAGGATGCAAAATGATGAAACGTTTAGTAAATTTTATGCTAAATTATGTGATGTTGTAAATTCATCATTTGCATTAGGTACCAAGGTTGACAATGTGGCCATCAAGTAGAAAATCTTGAGATCTCTATCCGAGAGGTTTCATGCTAAGGTAGCATCCTTGGAAACAAGTGTCAACATGGAGTTGGAGTCGATGGAAGACCTAGTCAGCTTTATATTAACCTTTGAGATGAACCTTCTATTCTTAAATCAAGCTAAGAACGTTTTCTTAAACTCTACAAATCAAGGAGGAGGTAAATCTAGGTAACCCCGATTAGGAAAGGAGTACCTAGCCTTAATTGCAAGGAAGTTCAAAAAGTACTTCAAGGGTAACAATGTCAAGTCCTCAGGTCGAAAGCAAAACCTAGTAGACCCACTCCTAAGGAGGGAAGAGAGAAAGGAGGAAGAGACTCTTGAAAAAAAATTGAGGGAAAGTGGCAAGGCTTCCAATGCTTTATATGTCTAGGATTTAGACATATTGCATCAAAATGCCTAAATAGAAGGAATAGAGATTTACCCAACGAAAAGACAAGAGCTATGAAGGTCACATGGAGAGATAGTGAAAGTGAGTCAAACCCGAGTGTTAACTCCTCTTCTAGTCATGATGAAGAGAATTTTATGGCCTTCGTTGGTTCACACTCCTCACCGCCTAGAGAAACTTTCACAAGCGATTAAAACAAGTCCTACCACAGTACGTGGTACAAGAATTAGAAAAAGAAATCCCTACATGTGTAGAGGATGAAGATTTTTTTAAGGATATACAAGATGTATACGATCAATTATATGTACAATTCCTTAAACAACAAGAGAATGTGTTCTCCTTGAATGGTTGGGTTAACTTAAGTGAAGAAGAGACAAGAGCACCTCAAGTGCACTTAGTCAAGTCCAATGCCCAAATATGTGGCCTAGAGGATGAGAACAAGTCTCTCCTTGATAGAGTGAACTTTCTTGAGAAAGAATGTCATGAGCTTCTCAAGTCAAAGAAGAATCTTGAGTCAAAATATGCTAAACTTGATAAAGATTTTCAAGAATCAAATAAACCCTCTAAGAGACTTCCCCAATGCGATGAAAAGTTTGATAGAATGTTATCTATAGGACAAAGTGTAGGTGATAAACGTGGTTTAGGATACACAAATGAATACACCAACATTTCTTCCAAGACCGTATTTGTAAAGGGTATCACCAACCCATCACCCCCACAAGGAAGCACAAGTCCTAAAATGACTAGCAATGGTAAGGGTAGGAACTCAAAGAAGAAAGTTTTAAATGAGACCCAAAACAATTGTGTTGTGGGTTATACTTGTGGAGAACATGGTCATTATATTACGTTGCATGAAAAATAAGGATGTCTGGAATAAAAAGCTCATGCATCTAGCTAAGTTATCTAAGTCTTTAAACAATCAAGTTGTTAATTTTTCTAAGCTTTTAGAGAAGACAAGTGTGTCCAAGCATATACATATATCATCATCACATGGACTACATGCTATAGTACGCAAGGCTTCTTGTACTACAAGGTCAAGATTGATCTACATACTTTTGGGGAGAAAAGAGCTATTCCTTCACCTATTCTCCGACCTAACTCAATTTTTAAGAAGGGAAAACAAGTTTGTCTAGGGAGGACCTTAAGAAACTCACTATCTCAACCAAGTTAGAGGCTCCAAGTGTTTCTAGTAAAGTCATGGCTCCTAACAAGTAGGAGGGGTGACAATATACACCTAGGTGATCTTTTATGCATCTCATCGAAAATCCTAGGGTCATACATTTTGTACATTGTTTTTTTGTTTATTTTGTCGTTTTTTTTCTATATGAAAAATACAAAAACTTTTGAAATTTGAAAAATCCAAAAAAAAAGAAATATAAAAATCCAAAAAAACAAACTTGATGTCAATTTTGACATTCATTGTAAGGATTTATGATAAATACTTTGTTTGTTTTTCCTTTGTTTTAATAGCATCTTTATGTATTTTTTTACTTGTACATGTTTTAATTGAAAATTTCAAAAACATTGAAAAAGAAAACAAAAAAATTAGAAAGATTTTCTTTTGTTTGTTTTTTATTTGTTCTAATGAACATGACAATTCACACTTTGATTTGTATTTAAACTATTTCATACAAAAATTAAAGTTGAAATGTGCATTTGTAAACCCCCACATGTTTATATTAATATAATTATATAATTGCTTAGAAATTCTAATATATGTAATGACGTAAGAATGAGTCACATAGATTATAACAGTAGAAATAAATAGTTGGGAGACAAATTGATTGTAAAGTTTAAGTTTCGAAGGTATTTAAATTTGGAAGAAGTTGTGAGGTAAGTTTTTAAATAATTTTAGGTTAATATAAGGTCTCCATTGAATCCGGAAGGTTGAGAAACCTTAGGAGAGGTAATATGGAGTGTATTAGAAGTTAGGAAGTCATTTGAAGTTAAAACCTATTTTAGAGAGGATTTGGGTAGAAAGGAGTTTGACACTATCTTAGTATTGTGGCCATAAATTTTTATTACTAACTCAGATTGATCTGAAATTTGGACAGTAAATAGTAGACATCTAGCGCTACAAAAGTGTATTTCATGAAAAGTTTTCAAATCGACCTCTAACTAGGCCAAAACTTCATTGGAAGTTTCTGTAAAAAACAGGCAAAACCTTCCGGAAGATCTTGAAAAACCTTCCAAAAGGTTCACGTGAATAGTACTCCAAAAGACACAACCTTCCGGAAGGTTTATGAAAACCTTTCGGAAGAACTTTGAAAATTTTCCAGAAGAATCCTCCAGAGAGCCAACCTTCCGGAAGGTCGACAAAAACCTTTCAAAAGGTTTTCCAAAAAAATCAAAAATCTTTAAATCGCGAACAACCGGTTCTCCTCCAACATAAATACTTAATGTTGCTTTTCTTAGTCCCATTTTCATCACTTCAAACCCTAGAACACTTAGAGAGGAAGAGAGAAAACACAAGATCAAGGAGATTTACACTACCAAGAATATCAAAACCCTAGAATTTCAAGAACACCAAGGTTGGGGGTTTTCTTCCATGCTTGTCCATTGATGTTAGGGCTAATATATATATATATGTTTTGACTTTAAATTGTATATCTATGCTATGAAACCATCTCTCTTTGGTTCGTTTTGAAAATTATCATGTTTAAACAAAGTTAGGGTTGAATACCTATGAAATCTCTTTTCTTGATTTAAAAACCAAATTTTCAAGAGAGATGGATTTTCCTCTTGATTTTTCCCTTGTTCTTGAGTTCTAAACCCTAGTGCTTTGTGCTGATTAATAAAATTATGTTGTGATAATCTCTTGCCTATTTTCCTAAAATGTTCCCTTGTATTACAAATTGTGAAATTTGAGAATTTTGGGATTCCTTTGTAAATTGAGAAAATGTTTGTAATGATATCTCTTGTATGATTGTTGTGATGAACTTGAATTGCCTTTGAGCATTACCGTAGAGTGTTAGAGGTTAGTCTATCCCAGTGGAGGTGAGATGGTTGCCTAACACTTGTAGTAGATGGTTATTTGGTAACAACCATCACTATTGTTCACTGGAGTTCGAACTAGGGGTGGTATACCTTTTCTGGGGAGGGACTCATCACTGCCATTGGGATGGTAGATGCGCTTTCTTGAAGTGGTTGTGAATTGTGGATTGTGATGGGTGAACGAGACACTAGTTGTTGTGTAGATTTATGGGAAGCAATCAACATACATGAGAACATGAGATTATTATTATTGTTTCGAAATGGTATCCAACAAGAGCTTGTGGAGGTATGAGAGTCTACCAGAACTTGTTGGAAATGGTTATGGTTGTTAATTGTGACTTGGTTTACTGTTCATTGAAATTATTGTGAATACTTAAATTTGAGATCTGTTTCAAATGCCACTGTTTTACTTCCAAATTTTATATGATATTTTGAAAAATGAGACCGAACTGTTTTGATATAATTTTCTAAACTTTGTTTGAGTATGAGAGGAAAGTTGTTACAAAGCTTAGTGCTCACCCCCTACTAATATTTTTCAGATTATATACTAGAGGAGGAGATGGAAGTTGGTGATCCGGCACACTGGGAGACTCCCATAGTGGGGCACAGGGACCCCGAGACTGACGCATAGAGCCACACTATCTTTTGTTCTAAACTAGGAAATTCATTTCTAAACATTATAAAGTCTAGTTTCTTTTGTAATTCCACTGCATTATAATAGTTACATTTGAGATGTAAATGTCATAATTGGGCATATTCTTTTGTATGAGAAGGCCAAGGCTTGATCTATTCTTTTGAGATGATATTGTCGATATGACATGTGGAGAATAAAATTTTATTATTTTATGAGCAAATGGACCCAGTGTGATCAATGTAATATAATTGCACATGTTGTGTTTTGGGTAGAGCTCCCCGTACAAAAGAGACTCTACCTGAATTTTATGAATGATGAATGGAATTTCATTATTGATGGATGACATTAGTGCTCTCATAATGTGAATGGATTTAAACTGTAATGTCGTCCAGGGTGATTTTTGGGGCGTTATAACATTTCTATGAGTGGCATAATCTTATTTCAAGATTAATTAGCCAAAGTCTCTTTCATCCTATCGTGCTTTCATAATGTTTACCTTTGAAATATTCAAAATCAAGTACATGCATGTCATTCACGTTTACATTTAAGAGTTTGATTAGTTTGAATTATTAATGATCTTAAAGGACTCTAAGTGTTGGTGATAGGTGAACACATGACTAAAGGTTAGTTAAACCTCAATCCCTTAAAATATGTCTAAGGCCAATTGTGAGAAAAGAACCAATGTAGCCAAATCTAAAAAAGTGAGTCATAAATAAATGGCTAAAAACAATTGCACTTGAATTGTAAGAGTACTTATGATTAATTGTAAATTACTCATTTGTAGAGATCATGTTTAGAAGTATACATTTAAAGTACGAAATTCACAATCTTGTTGATTGAAACTATAGAGAAGAAGGGATAAACGAAAAGGGGGAGTTGTCAAAAAGAGAATATTTACGATATTTACTAACTGGTCATGTTTTAACTTAGATAATGCATTAAGATTTCATGATGAGCTTATTAATAATTCAACTAATTGGAATCCTTTTTGTGTTGAAGTTTGGTTTCACACACTATGCACTTGAATTTGTGAAAGTTAAACAAAATTTGATCACATGTATGTGAAATTGAACCAAGAGAGGAAACATTGCTCCAAGATGCCGGAAATTGAGTTTTCTATCCTTGAACATGCCTTAGATTAATGCATAGAGATGATGAATGTTAGAAGGAGCTATTAAAATGCAAATTTTGTAATTTTCATAATCATGAAATTTGAGCCTTTAATGTTTAAATTTAAAAATTGCATTTGATTTTGATCCAAATTCATCCATGCATTGCATTGAATTGCATTTAGGCTTTATTTGCATCATGTATGCATGTTGAGAATTGAATGGCAAAGGATTGAAATGGACTGGAGTACAAAAAGTAAAAGTGATATAATTCAAACCTTACTTAAGCGGCCAAAGACCTCGCTTAAGCGGTCTGCATCGGGATTCGGCACTGCTTGTTTAAAAGACGAGATTTTGACAGGACTAACTCATTTCCACCACTTCTGAGCTAGAACCCATTCATTTTCTACTTACCCAAATTATTTCCAAGTGATTTAACTTCCTATAGAGTGAGATTTGGTGTTATTTAAGTTTAGATTTGAGTTCATCATACACATTTACACTATTTCACCGATTCATTTTGGAAGAATGTCACCACGAGCTGAGAAAAAGGTAAGGGTACAGGCTTCAGGTAGTAGAGCTTGCTTTTAGACACCACAGTACTAAGAGTTGTGTAGAAGATTGTTTTCATCAAGAAATATGCTTGTGGAGCGAGGGGTCAATCACATTGGGGTAAGTAACATTTTTATCCCTTCGTTCTTTGACTTGAGATGGTGGATTGATTTATTTGTGGTCCCTATGCCTACAAAGGAAGACATGGTCAAAGAGTTCTACACACACATTTGTGACACTATAGAGGACAATGAGCACATTATGACATATATTCGAGGTGTGTTATTTGCGTTTTCAATTGACTTTATTGCCATCACCATACGTCTTCTAGTATCACGAGATACTTATCATTTTAGATCTAATAGTGTTATACCTACCATGTCATCAATTGCCTCAATGTTGTACAGAGTTTCTTACCCCAATGGATGGAATCGACAATTATGACACCATAAGGACTTGACAAGGGACTATAAGTTCATAAATCTGATAGTCAACTGCAACATGGACCCAAAGACTCATGTTTCCACATTTCCCACACCACGAGCCTATCTTTTAAATACGATCGGTACGAGT